AAAGTGATGAAAAACATGGAACTACAACCAAGATTGCTCTACCCAGCAAAGCTATCATTTAGAATTGAAGGTCAAATAAAGAGCTTCACAGATAAGATAAAACTAAAGGAGTTCCTCACCACCAGACCAGCACTACAGGAAATGTTGAAGGGTCTTCTTTAAGAAGAAGCTCATGAACAAAAGAATCTGATGAACTAAATAGATCCAGAAACATTGACACATGCAACAGATGATCATATTTCAGAGGAAAGAGGGAAGGGGGATGGAGGGTGGGAAGAGATTAACCAAAGAAGTTATCTGCAGATATGCATAACCCATGGACACAGCCAATAACAGGATGAAGGCCTGGGGAGGGGGTGGGAGCAAAATAGGGGGGGTCAATTGGGAAAAAATGGGACACCTGTAATACAACAATAAAGATAAATTTAAAAAGTAAAAAACAAAACAAAAACACTTTAAGTTGCAGAGGTTGTTAGATGTCTAAGGTCATTCCAGTGTAAAAATTCTAAGAAATACTTAACAGATACTAAGACAAATGAAGTTAAAGCAATGAAGCAAAACCTTCTCAACGGCCACTCATGCCAGCATTATCCAGAGTGGGGCAAAAGTAGGTTTACAGTTCTTCGTATAGAATCATACAATGAATAAGAATAAACTGTTTCGATTACTCAAGACTATAAACCTACTTTTGCCCCACCCTACAGTAAGCACTGGGCATATAGAATTGAGATAGGCTCTTTGCCCTCAAGCGACTAACGTGCTATCATAACTGTAGTGCTGTGATAGTCACAGCACAGAATGCAAAGGAAACAGGTGTTCCTGAAACAAGGGTATTAAAAGAGGCTTTCTGGAGGCAATGACACTTCAGTTTTAAAAGTGTTAGAAGTTATGCCCTGGCTGGGTGGCTCAGCTGGAGCGTCTTTACACTCATGGAAAGGTGGGTTCGATTCCCAGTCAGGGCATATGCCTAGGTTGCAGGTTCGATCCCTGGTCAGGATGCATACGAGATGTTTCTCTCCTTCCCTTCCCCGTCTCTAAAATCAATAAACATATTCTTGAGTGAGGATTTTTTAAAAAGTGTTAGGAGTTAGGCAAAACCTAGTATTCCAAGCAAAGCAACTAGTATGTGAGATGGCACGGTTATCATGAAACAGCATATGCAGTTGGTATGACTGAGGTAAGAGTAAACAAGGGAAGGGAGAAGAAAAATAAAGATATTTTGATCCCCACTCGGGGTGTGTATGAGCGGCAACCAATCGATGTTCTCTCTTACATGGATGTTTTCCCTCTCCCTCGCCCCCTAAAAATCAATAAAAACATTTTTAAAAAAGGAGTAATGAGAGTTCTGGTTTGAAAAATGTCTCATTACTTTAAAAAGAGACATGAAATGAAATGAAAAGTATGATTCTGGAGTGGATCCTTTTGCTAAAAAGACATTATTGAACGGGGTCTGAAATTAGATGGCAGTAATGTATCAGTTTTCCTGGTTTTGATGGTTGTATTGTGGTTACACAGGAGAATGCATGCTCTCATCTGTTGAAAATATATCCCTCATGATTTTCTTTTTTGAAATTAGTGTCTGTGTATTTAGGCTTTATAGATGTTTTAAAGACAGACATGCAAATAGCCTTTGGCTAGCAATCAGAAAACCTAGGCATAAGACTTGTTCTAGAACTTTCCAGCTTTGTGAAATTGGGCAAATCAATTAACCCTTTGAGCCTCAGGCTCCTCATCTGCAAAGTTGGGGGAATAACATCTGTCATGCAGAGCTCTGATAATCAACTGAGATGATATACGTGAAAGCACATTAAAGGTCTGCACAAATTGCAAAGAGTTATAATTATTTAACTTCACTGAAATATAATGTCTCTAATTCTAGGTAGTTTTGATGCTAAATATTTGCAAATGGCATGCAGTGATCTTGGGGCATGTGTAAATGTTTTGACAATATTACAGTTAAAATTAAGATTTCTATTTTAAACTTAAGAGTGTGGAAGTTTCTTTTTAAATGAGACTGAACAAACCTATCATGATGTTAACAGTTATTACAGTAGTAGTTCACAACATAAGGCATTTACTGATCCTCACAATCTAACTTGGAGCATTTATGACTAAATTGCTGCATAAATATATAGGGGCATTCTATGCATCTTAAAGAGGGGACTCTATACAAATAAAGCTCATGTCTAATTCTGCTAAAGTTTAAAAAAATGTTTCATGAAAAAAATAACTGGCAAATTGCATATTACCACTGTTGTCAGAGGTGAATAGTGGAAGAAATTTACTTATCTGTAAGTATTGTGGGAAAAGGTAAAAATATAATTCAATTAACCATAACCTAGAATTTGAAGCACCTCATTGGTACGTCCAACACACAAAGTATCCTGAAAAATCATTTGTAAATCAAATCATATTTTAAATGCCATTGGAGAAATATCTGTAAATACTTTTAAAATCCCTAATTTTCTGTCTTAAAGTAGGCATTTTTCCTGTATCAAGTTTTCTTAAAGTATACCTCTAATATTACAGTTTGAATAAGAATAATCTTTCAGGCAGCCGCTGTGGCTCAGTAGTTGAGCGTCGACCCATGGACCAAGCGGTCACAGTTCAATTCCCCATCAGGGCACATGCCCGGGGTTGTGAGTTTGATCCCCAGTGGGGGGAGTGCAATTGTTGATTCTGTCGTCATTGATGTTTCTCTCCTCCCTTCCTTTCTCTGAAATCAATAAAAAACTTTTTTTTTAAATCTCAAAATACTTTTTTTTTTTTAAATTAGCAAATGGTCTATGGAAATTTAGGTGTTTTAGCATAAAGATGGGGTAACTCCTCCAATATTTGTTGTTTGGACTCTCAGTAATTAAAAATTGATAGAAATAAACTACTGTATTTGGAATCTTCAATTATAGAATTAAAGGACTGATACAATCTATTCTCTTCCCTAAATGATAAGGTGGTTCTTCAGCAGACATTAAAATTTTTTTCTGACGTGCTCCACCAATGCACACTATTTCCAAATTAGATGGCCAGTGAAGAAAATCTATTTTGGTAACTTAAAAAACAGAAATTCGCATTGGTGGTAGAGCAGCAGTTTGACATGGGTTTTGTGATGTGTTGATAAGAGAAATAACACCTGATATTCCAGTGGAAATATGTTGTGAGTCATTTCCCAGAACAGACTTCTCTTGAAAAGGTTAGTTGTTTTTGAATCACCTGATGTAGAAACAATACTGAATAGATTGCAATTATGTGAAACAAAAGGACAGACAGATTTGATATCCATTCTAAAATATCTTGTTCATTGTGGGAAATGCCTACCAAACCAATTGAGAGGGGTGTTATTTCATTCTAGTAAAGGAAATAAAACTTAAGATCACCTTTCTTTAGAAATGTCCAGATCCTAAGAAGAGCAAAGGAATTAGCTTCATCACCAGGTTTGTTTCTGCCTCTAATATAGCTACCTGAACTTTCAAATATTGTTCTAGCGTTAACATTTAGAGACAGTTAAGCAATGAGGGAGAAAAGTGATACTACAGAAAGTGCAAAAAAAGCTTTTAGAGCTTTGAAACAGCCCTTCCATGGAACCAATACAACAAATTTTAATAAAAAATCTCATTGACTCATCTCTGATATTGAAGAAAAAGTCTAAGACTGTTACAAATAGACCAGAAAAGCTTTCTACAGTGTAGGGATATTCCTGGTCTTGACATTTCCTTTTTCATATTTGGATTTATAAATTCCATTCTCTAACCTGCTTCTCAGGCAAGCACTATCTAAGCTCACCTTCCTAATTTAGAGCCTTTTTTGTAACTCTTGCGTTTTAAATGTGTGACTTCCACGATGCCTTTAAAATACACAACCTCTTCCCACTTAGCGTATGACTGTTTTGCTTTTATTACATTGTGGGGATGACAGGCTGCAGGTAGTCTCCGTGAGGAACCTCCCGCTCCTCTTCCTCACCCCTCCCCAACAAAAAAAGGAAGGGGGGGGGTAAAAATGCCCTCTGCTGACCACGTGTTCGATGGCCTCTTAAGCACCAGGTGTTGGTTTGTGAGTAAAGAGACGCGCTGAGAAGGAGCCAGGCCTGGGTCGTGCAGTTGGTGAGGAAGCGTCTAAGGGACGGCTGAGAGCAGCGCAGTTAGGCCGTCGCAGTCCACGGTTGCAGGCTTTGCTTTGACGGTTACACGGCACGGAGGAAAAGCCAGTCCGTCTTCCCTACTGATCAGAAAGTACAATTCTAAGTCCTAGGAGCGTAATCTCCTTTCTAAGGGATGGGGTGGGGCCTGTGAGTTAAGTGGAAATTCATACACTTAAATTTTGAGATGGGGGGCACCAAATGAACAAGCTTGGTAAAAAGAGGCTGGTGAGGGAGTGACTCCTCACAGAATAACTTGTGGCCTGCCTTTGAGATTCCATGATTTTGGAACTACTCTGTTGGCTTTGGATTTGTCAGGGTCTTTGCATCCTCTCCAGATGGGGCAGCTGGGGCAGTGAATTTAGGATACAAGCCATGTGTATTCCATGCAACATGTGGAATAAGTTGTAAATTTTCTGGAAGGGAGTTCAATTATTTGGACTTCATTGCATATCAATATAGGAAACAGCCTCAATCAATTGAATTGTCTCCATGCCTTTGTCTTGTGTCTTGCCTGTTTCTTGGGTGTTTTTTACTAAAGACAGCAAAAAAAAAGTTCAGTACTTAAGTAACTTTACAATGCAATTCCATTTTTATTTTTTACTTTTATGTAAATGCTACATTAGATATAAAAGTTATTTAAAAGATTATTTTATAGTCCATCTACCTATTCTTAAGCCTTCCTTAGAAAAAAAATCCATAGTAATATTGATAAATAGGGACCGAGTAAATGCAAACTATGCAGAACAGAGATTTGGGATTTTTTTATTTTTATTTTTTTGTCTAGTGAAGTTTGAAAACTTTCCAAAACAACTATATAATTCCTTTAACACCTGTCTTAGCAAAATTCTAATTCTGTTTGAAAAGGTGCTTTTTGAAAACGTTATCTTTGGAGAATGCATAAGTGGGTGTGGGATGGGGAGAATCCATATCCCAATATCTTTATAAAGCAAGGTCTTAAAATTTGCAAAGCTGTTGGCCACTGACTCCGCTGCTCTTTCAGCACGCTGCAAGGCAGAGAGGATGGGAGTGAGGCAGCAAGGGGGAATGGAAGAGTGGAGATCGTGAAGGTAGGTCACTACGGAATATTTTTTTAATCCCCCTTCTCTTTTCCTGTAATATTTCAGGAAACTCAGCCACCATCACCTATAAGGAAAATACCCGGCTGGGAAAGGCAAAGAATCAGAAATAGAAGGATGCAGGGGGAATGAATACAAGAGGAGGGCCAGGGAGGAGGAACTATAAATGAATAAAACGCGGCCTCTGCTACGTAGATCTTTCTATGAGGCTGTTAGAATTAAATTTGATTTATATATAGGACTGAAGTGACACAGAGCTAGATAACTGAGTTGGTTTATCTTTGACTAGGCGTTGGTTCCCTTGTAAGGTTTTGATAAGGAAATCTCACACAAGGCAAAACTGGCTTCTCTACCCATGCACCTGGGAGCCGTAAGCCACCCAAGGTCAAATTTACTTGATCTGTGCTAAGGGCTATGTGTGGAATTTGAAAGGTTATTCATGTAACTGACCCTTTTCCAGTAAGCCTTCCTTAGACTCAATCTTGAAAATTATCTGGAGGGTTCACAATCCTGGTGGTCGACCAGGAAGAGTCCAGGGGCTGGGGGTGGGGGGAGCGTTCCACTTAAGGCTGTCCCAGGCGCTTAATTACTTTTGGATTGAGGATGTCCTAGGTTTAGGTCAGGGCGCCAAATCTATGTACCCTGTTAGTGAGAACTGTATCCTGTCTTCACAAAGCAAAGTAACCTCAACGGTCTCAGCGGTCAGACTCAAGCCACGTGAAGCATACGGAGCTTAAGTGAGATGGCCAGCTGAACACCCAAGATGCGTTTGTCAATATCCACCTTCAAAGTAGTTCATGGCCAGTCCCAGAGACTCCTGAAATAAGCCAGATTTGCTTGTGGAACTTTATCCTAAATGTTTAGCAGAGAGAGACAGGAAGATGACAGTCAAGTCCAGCAAATGCCAAAGGCTGGCCCATGAAGAAGGGTGTGCGGGCTCAAGTGTCCCTGGAAAAGGAGATGGTGGCAGAGCATGCTGTAGTAATTACGCTCTTCAAGTAATAACATACATCCACACTGGAGTAGGTGGAACTGGTTAATGTAAGACAAATGAGAGGAAATGCATAGTTTGTAATGGGCCCAAGGTATCGGAATGAAGATAAAGATACACTGAAACAACAGTACACAAAGACACGCATGCTCACACGTACACATTGTTTTTCAGCTTAGTTTCTTATATTTTCCTCGCCTGACTCCAAAGCAGCACATGGGTTACAGGGGTCTAGTAGATCCAGCTATGGAATTCTATGCTACTCAGAAAATATATGGCTAGCAAGACAGCACCCCGCTTTCTCCTACATGGTTTATACATCCATGAACAATGAAAACTGTGGACGTAAACAGATGTCAGATACCAGTGATCATAATGCGAAATGATACAGGAGACGTTCACAGGCTTGATGCTAAACCTAATCCTAACTGATTACATGGTGGTTTTCGTCACCTCCATACACACCCTCACGCATCCAAAATCGTCCCGTTCGGCTGCATCACCGAGTCTAACGTGGGACTATGTCCGGGAGATATCACGGAAAGTAGGGGCTGGAGGCCGCGAGAGTCTGGGCCCCGCAGCCTTCTGGGGCTGGGTCCCTGTGCAGAAGGCCCTTCCGCCGTCAGGCTAAGACGGAAACGCATTCACTCGGAGGGAGAAGGCGTGCGACTTGTCAGAGCTGGAGGAAGAGGTTGTTGGGAAGCCACTTTCCTCTGGTTGAAGCGTTTTAAACGGCATTCAAGCGGATGTCCCCACAGGGAATTTCTGTTGGTGTTTCTGGGGTGACACTTTTAATAATACGCTGTCGGGAAGAAAATACGGTGTTACAAACGTTCTTGTAATTGAACAGTATTGAAAAAATATTTCAATGTTAATATTACAACAAAGTTTAAGTAGCATTTTAATGGCATTTAATAGTAAGTGGGAAGTCTCGTTGACTTTCCTTAAGAAAGGAATTCCCAATTTATTCATTCTCAAGTGTGAATTAAAATGGAATATTCAGGAACTATAAGCATCTGTGAACTAATTATGAAAGTCATTATATCACTAAAAGGAGAAAATGATCAGCCTCCAATAGAACCTCTCCTGGCTTATTACATGCCTTTGATGGCTTGGGAAAATGCTTTTTTTTCTCTGGAAGGGGGAGGCTTCATGTGGCCACACTGGGCTTGGGGAGCAGAGTGAGTGCTGGGTTCTGGCACCCTCCCCACCCCTGGGCCCTGCGCACAGGGCAGGCACAGCGCATAGTAACAGCCACGCAACAGCCAGCATGTTACTTATTTAATGAATCCACCTGTAAAGGCATCCCGGTCAGTTCATACAAGGGTGCAAATCATCACATAATTACATTTAAAAAGATGTGACCATTGAGAGCACTCCGAAAGTAATCTCGTGCTCATGGGGGAGGAATGAGATTTTTTACGTTGGAAACAGCTGAGGTACACGGAGGCTTCAAGACAGATCTGAAATACGCTTGGGCTTGTGTATGAAATGTACAGCCCGCCTTGTAAAAGCATCAGGGTGACATGAAGCAGCTCAGGGGTGCAGAGAAGGAAAGAGCCGCACTGCAGAGGCTTAGGGAAAAAAGTATTAAGTTGCTTCGTAAAATCTCTGATGGCGAAGTCTGTCTGTACGGTAAGCAGGCAAAATTGGATCTGAAAGCCTCTTTTGATTTACTGATTTTAGGTGAAGCTCTACTAGTTGCCCTTTTTATTTTGGATTAAAAAAGAACACAGTCCTGTTTAATTTTTTATTTTATTTCCTGGTTCTGGGAGATTGCTCTTCTTTAAGGAGCAGGGCCTGTGGAATTCAAAAAGTTCCATTCTCATGGTTAATGAGATTCACAAAGTTGCACGTGCTGTGTTCCCAATGGCCTTAATGTTCAAATGCTGAACTCTCACACTGGAAACCCATTTTAAAAGGAGTTCCTGCAGGGCCCATCTTCTACCTGGACGTGTAAAGTCGTAGAAAGCAAAATCTCACAAACCATCCTTCCCCGCAGATGAACATGTAACCTGATTAAACATAATTATGTAAGCTGATTAAACGGAATATGTAACCTGGTTACACAGAATTATATCTTGCTAAGTGGGGACTGGACACAGATCACTCGAACTAGTTCGTCTTAAGTGGGGCACAGAAAGAGCAGGAAGCACTAAGGGGTGCTGTGGAGGCAAGGTCACAATGAGCCACATCGCGCCCTGGCCCCCACCAGCCCATTCTGCTGCCCCTCTGGCGCTGATTCCCCCGAAATGCCAGGCCCACCTTCGTTTTCATATTTTGGCAGCATCTCAGTTGCCAGACTACTATTGCTCTCAAAATTTGCCAGCCCTGGCCTTCTGCGAGGTGATAATCTAAGAAACGGATCACGGCTGGGCGCTCACTTATTGGGGACCAGTTTCTTTGTGCAGAGTCCCAGGGACTTCTGTGAACGACCTGATCGACCCGACAGCTCCAACCTTGAGACTCCAGCTGCAGGTGCACGTCATATCCTCCAAATTACGGGTGAGCGAGCGCGGGCTCCACAACCTCCCACCTCGTGTATGGGCAGGGCCCAAAAGAGTTAAGAAATTTACCTTTCTCTTAGTCTTTATTTATTTGACCTTATCAAAATTTCATAGGAAGCCTCCCTCCCTCATAGATAGAATGTTACAGACCATCGAGCATGGCGTTCACGAAGAATTGCAGTCCCTTGGTGTTCTTGGCATAAACCACGCACGTTTTAGCCTCTCAGAGATTAAGCACGCGCCGGGGCCTGTTAAGGCTGCTGAGAAGTCCCTCGGTAAAGAGCTTGCCTCGATCCAGCACTCTCCAAAGCTTTTTGACTACCTAGCCTTTCCCCCAGCGGTAATGCCNTAGAATGTTACAGACCATCGAGCATGGTGTTCACGAAGAATTGCAGTCCCTTGGTGTTCTTGGCATAAACCACGCACGNTAGAATGTTACAGACCATCGAGCATGGCGTTCACGAAGAATTGCAGTCCCTTGGTGTTCTTGGCATAAACCACGCACGTTTTAGCCTCTCAGAGATTAAGCACGCGCCGGGGCCTGTTAAGGCTGCTGAGAAGTCCCTCGGTAAAGAGCTTGCCTCGATCCAGCACTCTCCAAAGCTTTTTGACTACCTAGCCTTTCCCCCAGCGGTAATGCCTATTGATATCCCCTGGAACTACTGCTCCTTAAAATATATCAACATTTGGGAAATGTTAATCCAGCCCAACGAGAGCAATTTAAAGATGAAAGAGCTAAGGCCCAGAGAGGGTGAATAACTTGCCCTCGCTGACCAGGTCTTCTCCCTCGTCTCCTTGACTGGCTGTATGGATCGAGGTGCTTGCTGGTAACCCGCTGTTCCCTGTGTGGTGGCCTCTGGCAAGGACAGCCCTACCATCAGCCCTGCCTCTGTTCCTAACGGGTACGGGCTCTGTTAATTACACACCTTTGGGTGGCATCTTCTTACGGCCAACGGGGAATTTGCAAGAAAAATGACCAGGATTCGAGGTGCAGTCTGTGACCCACGAATACTGACATTTATTAACCTGAGTTCCCACCCCTGCCCTCGGCCCTGGGTTTGAGTCAATAGAGCCAGTGGGCCGTCATGACTGCCCCAGAGGACAACCTGAAGAAACAAATTCAATGACTCCAGGTCTGAGCACGTGCTTCGAGCAACACCAGAGTCCAAGGCCCTCTGGGAGGAATGAGGTAACTGATTTAGGAAATTACCAACTCCTTGCAGAGTCCTGCTCACCTAGGATTCAGTGTTCCTGTTTGGAAAAAGAAATGAACTCAGTGCTTGGGAAGAAGCTGATGTTTAAGTGCCTCATGTCCTCTTGCTTCAGGTTGCGTATAAAAGGTTTTAGGGAGATGAGTGTGTCAGTCTCATGTCTGAGTTTTGCTCCTAAGAGCCCACGGACCAGCCCATCTCAGTTCTCAGGTCTTTAGAGAGCACCGTCCCTTCTAGCTTTCCCCAAATACGGCCCCCCCCCTTGGAGCCTACCCCCTGGGAAAGCACCCACCCACAGACTTGTCAGGGGCCTGAACTACTAATTCTGCAACATAGGATCAAAACCGGCAACTCGCCTCTCCCTAACCTCCAGCACCAATTTCTACATCAGCAAACTATTAATGGCAAACTGAGGACAAAAGAGAAACTGCACCTAAAGTGAAAGCATTGGACCAGGAATCAGGGGACTTGAATTCTGAACCTCCCTGTACTGTGTGTCCTTGGACAAGTCACCCAAATAAAGACATTTTGAGCAGCATTGTTCCTGGCCTGAGTATCTGTCTGCTCATAATACCTGCCCACCCACGTCACAAGGCATTTCAATAACAAAATGGAATCATCTACATGTAGATGCTTTGAAAAATATACAATTTTATGCAAATTGTAAGATTCTGTTATTAAACTTTTTACAGCCCATTATCCATTACTAAAATGAGTCTTGCTGTAATGGCAACTTTTTTTTTTTTTACTACAATGGCTTGAGCTAAAACTATATTATTGCAACATCCTTATTTAGTGGTGATTTTCAAAATAGCCCTTGTTTACATTGCTGTTAGAAAAATGACCAGGGATATTTCCTGCCATAATCTCCACTTAAATCAAAATTTGTGTATTGACCCAGACACCACTGATTTGATGTCTGTGCCACTGGCAAGCAGGAGGCAAAGGAGTTACCTGATGTGTTTAGGACACTACACCCCCCACGCTGCAAGCTACGGTGCTCCCGCAGGACCAGCCTGCTCCTTCGCGGTTGTATTTAAGGTTTATGGGAAATGCCTTAAGATGACAGTGGCAGCCATGAGAGGCCTGCATGGTCTATGTCACATAAATATAGAAGGTGAATTTCATGTGGTGGGTTTATCTCCTTTGAATAGAACATAAGATAGCCCTTTTCTCCCCAAACCATGACCAGTCTGAGCGTGCACACACACACACACACACACGCACACACCTCCTTCAGTGTCCCTGGAGTGGTGATCAGCCGGTAGGCTATATACGTGGGGATGCAGATGAAAGACGAGGTTCCTATGCAGTAGCCCAGGATGATACTCCAGTGAGGATAATTATACTGGAAAAGTCGCAGCTGCGGCGGGCTCATCAAAAAACTGCAAATGATGAACTAAAACAGAAATTCCAAGAAACATTAAAAACCTTAACGATCTCTGTGCAGCTAGAGACAGTTCTGGCACCACTACCGCCAAAGGTAAGGCTAAGATACTTTTGGGAAATGCCCAAGATGGGCTATGAACTCTGACACACACAATGCACCGATTTCTGATCCTAATTTCCTGCAAAAATAAAACAGCCAGGTGCTTATCTTGATTCCCCACCTCATCCCCTACAAGGGGGATGTGAAGACCTCAGAATGTTATCTAAGGGAGTTACAGCACCCCCTTCAGAGCAAAGGGGAAGAGACTGGCATCCACCAGCAGTGCTTGGGCCCCTCTTGGCAGACGGTGGAGGAATGAGCTGGGGGACCTCTCCACAGCCCTGCCAGCCCTAGGGCCTCCCCCTCCTCCCTGCTTTGCTTTCATTTCCTCCCGCATTCCTCGGCTGCGGTGGGTTTGGGTCAGATGGGAGGCACCTATGTCCAGGAGAGATAATAAGGTTCTCAGGACCTTAGGAGGACTCTGGCTGCCGGGTCTGCATTCCTTCTGCCCCCGTCTGCAAGCTCTCTGCTTTCTGCATTGAGCTCCTTAGCCTGGGGCTTCAACAAGGGTGGCTGCTCAGGAATGAATGACTACCTGCCACAGGCCCTTGTAATGAGACGAATAATGGAAGGAAAGAGCAGCTTAATACACTTTTTGCTTGAAAACTCAGTGAAAATTTTGACCAGGAAAAATTCCACGGCGTGCTCCCAACACTCAGTTTATGAGTTTTCCTATTTCAGTTTGGTTTCCAGAGAGAGCGTAAATATCGATTTTTGCCCTAGTAACCACTGTGCCGAAATACTTATTGCTCTTGATTTAATTTTATTTTCTTTCATAGTCATAAAGAAGACAGTAATGTAAATTACTTGTGTGGTTAAACATCTATTTATATCTTTTTTTCTTTTTTTTTTGTCTGCAGGTAATAAAATGGGAGATTGTTAAACACACATCCATCTTCTGAGCAGTGTTATCCTAAGCCCAGGAGGAAGCTTTCAAAACAGGAGCCCGGCCAATCGCAAACCTTTCTCTGGACTTGCTCCCCTCACTCCAGACCCGGCTACTAAGGAAGATGCTTTTGGAGCAGGAGGAGGGGGGTCTGGTGAGGCGCCATCCCTGCTGCAACTCGTCTCATCTTGATGTCAGGTGTGAAATCCAACCCAGTCCAGGGAGGCCCCAAGCTCCTGTTGGGGCCGGTAAGAGTTGCTCCAGACACCCCTTCGCACATCCCAGCTTCACCCCTTTGCACGTCCAAGCCTCTCCTTGCTCGCACACAATGTTTTCTTTTTTTGTAACTTGGCTTCAGTGAAAAAAATTATTTTTAGTAAGCTACTCATTGTTTATATAAAGCAGCCTTAAAAAGCCCAGAGCAGAGGATCCGTTAAGCAAACCCACAAGTGGGAGCAGATTTGTCCCCCCCTCGTGCCCCAAGCACTCGCCCTGGCAGGACGTGAGTAAAGCCAACATCACTGCACTTGTGAGTGACGCGCCTGAAGCCAGACCCGCACGTAGGTTCTGCTGGATGGCAAGACTCACAGACAGTGCACCGAGAGTTCACCCGGCCTGCCAGACAGCAGGCAGCTCACAAAAATGAGAACAGGAAAAGCCTGGGGCCAGGATCAGGGTGAGGCGTGAGGCACTCACCTCGGGCACACCACTGGGGAGGGGGGGCAAAATTTCAGGAATCAAGACGAATGATATCTGAGTGCAACATGCTAAAAAGACGGGGTCCCGCACGGCCAGATTAGGGTGAAGGGAGTGAGGGGAGTCACCCCAGTGCAGGACTGGATCTTGTCTCTATTTAAAATGCTGATATTTTGTTCATTGAGGATTTTTGTGCATTTATTTTATATATTTTTTAAAAATATGACATTACAATAGCATGTATTTTGTTTGCTGAGATTTTGGGCACCCCCTTAAATTTTATGTCCGTGTCGAGGGCCTCAGTTGCTCTCCCCAGTTGCAGCCCCGACGTCATTTCCTCCCTGCGTGGGGGATGCTAAAGTGAACAAACAGCACGGCTTCTTCCCTCAGGAACTAACCCAGCGTCTCCCCTTCCTTTGAAGAACAAACGAGAGGGTTTAAGTAGATTACGGAGAAGCACTGGTAATAATACCAATTAATAACCCGTTTAGGTCAGGACTTCGGCTTCTAGTAATGGCAGGCAAGGTGATTCAGACCAACAACCCTCTCACCGAAAACACTAAAATTTCTGGATTTAAAAAATATATATATTTTTAATGTCTCTAAAAGTGACAGGGAGTTGATGAGGTAATAAGGAGCTACCGGGCCAAGATCTAGGGGAACCATGGAGCCCAGAGCTCACTCCAGAGCCCCTGGGCCCGAGAGCTCCTGCTCCTCCGGGCGGCTTTGGTTCTGGAAACCTCCAGGGGCCCGGGGAGAGGAACTAAGTCAAGGAGGGATCCTGAGGAGAGGCACAGGTGGCACTGCAAAGCAAGGCGGGCGTGTCATTCATCTCAGATCAACGGGCTGTACAAAATGTACAAAAAATAAAGGGCTGCCCTGAGAAAGTCAGAACAGATCACAAAAAGGGCTGTTTGTAAAGAGGGGCAGGCGCAGCCGTATGCCAAACGAAAAAAGAGACGTCCTACGACAAAACGGGTGCCCGGGCGCTCCTAATAAGCCGGAGCTAGACGAAAGGCAGCCTGATGGCCTGTCTGGCTCTAAAAGATCAAAACGCCCCCTGGTCCCCAAATAAAATTACAGATCAATGAAAGACGGGGACAGCGGACCCTGCTGATGTGCACGGTGTCACTTGAGCCCAGGCTACCTCAGAGCGCACCTGGGATGTTAGCAGGAGCCTCTCCATCGCTGGGCAGGCATCTCCTTCAAACGGACACCAAGGGAAGCACGGGGCACACGCCGCAAGGATGCAGTGACCCTGGCAACGGGGCAACCCCTGGAACCGAACTTTCTCACCCAGGTCCTTTGGCAAGAAATAGATTCTACTTTGGATTCAGGTCATGCTTGAGGACCTTCGTGTGGGGCATCTTTAGGAAAATGGACACAAAGTCACCAGGACCCTGCCCGGGGCCTCCTGAGCAGCACAATAAATCGTTCCCCGGCCTTGAACAGTTCTTCACTGTCATGTGTCCTCGGACCCTTTACTTGACATCCCTAAGCCTCAATTTCCTTAAATGTAAAACGGGCCCAGCTGGGCGTGGCTCAGCCGTTGAGGGTCGACCTAGGATCCAGGCGATCAGGGTTCGATTCCTGGTCAGNCGGGCCCAGCTGGGCGTGGCTCAGCCGTTGAGCGTCGACCTAGGATCCAGGCGATCAGGGTTCGATTCCTGGTCAGGGCACATGCCCTGGTTGTGGGCTCGATCAATGACTCTCTCATCATTGATGTTTCTATCTCTCTCTCTCCCCCTCTCCTTTCCTCTCTCTGAAATCAATAAAGATATATTTAAAAAAAAAAAGTAAAACGGGGTATTAGAACTTTCCTACTTCGTGGAACTCTTGTGAGAATTAAAAAAGCAATGGGTGTAGGTTTTACACCAAGTCTGGCCTGGCGCTTAATGTTCAAGAAATGGTCTTTATCATTGTCACGGAGCAGGGGAGTGAAGCAATAAGGTGACTGAGGCCCAGACGACTCTATGGTGTTAGGAGTCAGAAGGGT